CTTAGGTTATAGCGGAGCTCCGGCGCGCGAAGCGCGCCAGCGGAGCACCATGTAATAATGATCGCCTTTTTTCCGAGAAATATACAGTGAAAGATTATATTTCTAATACTAAACTAGAAAAAGGCGAGCATTATTACATCCAAACACGGTACAAGGATCTTTTTTCCCATTACAATCTTATTTTAAGAAAACTTTAAGAAAAAATGTACCGAAAAGCGCTCGAAAATACAAACGAAATGTGCTCATGCCCCCTGGGCATCCTATAATACTCCTTAAATAATTCAATATGACCGCCGTATCGGTAAAAAGGTCTATTGTGAAACACTGCATTCTGACCGAGGTCTGTATGATAAAAACAGCGCCTCATGGTACTGTTTCACCTCAGATGTGGTGTATAAAAAGTATAAAAGGTTAGGTTTACACGTCCCCAGACTTGTTGGCTAGATTTTGTAAAGTAAACTTGTCGAACGCAAAAAATTCGGCCTGATGTGTTTTCCAAGAATTTTTTTTTAACGCCTCATCTACTGTGATCAAGAGCCATTATGGCTATGTTACTGGGTGTACATATAAGGCTATTAACTCGATGCAAGATTAAGTTCACTCTTAGCTTGGACTGTTTGCAAATTATTTTTTTCTCTAAAATCACTTAGCCTTTCCCTCAAAAGAGTCACATGAATGTGCTCTAAAGAAACGTGTTTATTGTTTGATTTAAATTATAAATTCGAGTTGATAGGAGCTTCGCGTTTAGGCCTGGCTAAATCTATATATTATGCGACTTCTCGCCTTTCAAATTTAGAACTAAGATAGTTTGGAGCCAACCCGTGCAGAGACCTGTAAACCATTGTAGCTCTTTAAATTTGTTGCTGGCAAGCTAGGTTTTTCCACCCTAGAAGTTTGAAAAGGTGACCAGCATCTACGTCATAGCTTGAGTAGGTCAAAACACGGGCTGCTCTGTTTTGTAGCTTTTGAACCTTATTCCGTAAAGTTATCCCACAGTTTCCCCGAACAATGTTGCAATAATCAATTTTCGCGGTTCAGTGTTATAATTTGGCGTTTTTCGCGAAAAAGAATCCTCGTCAAATTTAAACACGCGAAATTCAATGACCAAATAGTTCATAGAATATTCAAATCACAGAAAAGATGATAAAACATGTAATTATAACAGCATATACACAGTACAATAATAATTTGAGAAATACACGAATAATCCACTGACTTTTAGTAAGTTCCGTTTTGTATCTTCTATGAAAGAGGGTGTTTTAAATTAATTAATATTCGCATACTGAAGAAGAAACTCTAGCTAGTATCCGGCCTGATGCCCATACAGTTAATCTACAAATTTAGAATGTCAGAAACGTTGGGGAAAAAAATCACCGGGAGAACATTTCAATCGCGAAATTCAATGCCTTTTGTTCATGTCCTATTAATTATTGAAATCGCGAAAACCGGAGATTGAGATAAGACCCCGCGAAAAACTGTTACGAATGTAACCACGAAATTAACTACCAGTTACCGTAAAATCCAGAGAATAGGCCAGGGGCTTATATTTTTTCAAAGGCCCTTTTTGAGGGGCTTATATTGGGAAAGAAATTTGCGTTTCAAAATCGATTGGGCTAGCCTTATAGTGGGAAGTAAATTTACCATTTTTGGTTTTACTTTGTATTTGAGGGCAGGTTTTCCAAGTACAAGCTTCCCGGGGGCATATGTTCGGAGGGGTGATTTAACGGAGGGTTTTTTATGTTACCGGTTTGGGGGGGCTTATATTTGGAGGGGCTTATACATGGAGGGGCTTATTTTCGGAATTTTACGGTAGGTTTGTAAAACTTCCTACTTTTCTTTCAGGCGTTCCTTGTCCACAGGGCTGGGTTCGATTCAAAGGATACTGCTATCTTGTCAATAGCTCTATCAAGACTTGGCAAAATGCCCAAATGTACTGCATAGAACTGGGAGGAAATCTGGTGAAAATCAACAGCAAGGAGGAAAACGAGTTTGTACTAAACCTCGTAAACAAGCTCGCCCCATCGCTGAAGCAGATTTGGATCGGACTCAAGTGGGACTCTCACGTAAAGGCCTTTGTGTGGTTCGATCATTCAGTCCCTACCTTCACCAAATGGTCCTCAAATGAACCAAATTCAAATGGTATGGAGCCTTGTGGCAACATGTGGACTGGTCACGCAGGGGATTATTTTAGGGCATCTGGCGACTGGAATGATCTTATTTGTTGGCATGCTGGTTTACCTTGTGGTCTTGTCTGCAAGAGGCTGCCCTAGATGTTAAGCCAGCTTCACTCCCGATCAAAGCCAAAAGTAGAGTGTAGTGCAAAAATTAAAGCATATTCTGGGTCGACATTTTAAAATGGAGACAAGAAAACATTTTAGTGCTAATTTCTGAAGGGTTAAAACAGCGGGTTGTGACTGAAATAAACACTCTGTATTCCTTGTTCAGTTCTTGTTTGTGTGTCTTCTGTTATGTAGAGAATTTTTCTTAGGGTCCATCCTCGTCTTTCACTCCCGAAAGTGGACAAAATTAAGTCGAAATTCGACGTTGGTTGCAGGTGTAAATCAACCTAATGAGAGAACAGCGAGCAAAAGAAGGTAAAATGGAGAAATCCCTTATGTCAGACGTATATATTTTCTAGTAGCGTGGACGTTTTTGGCGGCCAGAAAAAAGCTTTTACTATGACAAACAGGGTGCACAGTTCTTTTAAAAGATAACTTTCATAACCGATATATATATATATATATATATATATATATATGTATATGTCTGATTTTGGAAAAAGGTACCCTACAACAGAAGAGGGTCTGTAACAAATGTGTGTCTTTTCTGTGGTTTCAATATTGACTTAACTTCTAAATTACCAAAAAGGCCTGAGAGTGGCCAAGCTTCTTTCAAGTATGGTAGAAATTGGCTAATGAGCCACACCCCTTCTCCCCCTATTCCCCTCACCCCTGCATCCGAGGCCCTTGTCCTAACAGCTTATATGGGCCGGAGCAGAAAAACAATAAACTAACAGCGTGCAATGACTTCAATGCTTGCGTGCATGACCACTACTGTATAACGGAACGTTAGATAGCTACTCTAGCCAATAGTTGGGACTCTAAGAAAGGTGCCCTTTTCTAAAATCAGACAGAAAATTAATATGTGGTAATTTCCCAAATGACTTTCTCCACTGGCCAGCTATCTGCTGCAGTAAGTATTCAAGCGGTACACAAATCATTACTTATCCAGTTACAGTGAATAATATGTGGTAATTTCCTAATGACAATTAATTTTTTTCATGGATATTGTAATGTGTAAATAGTGTATTTCGGTCGTTGATTTTAAGAAAAAGAGTCTTTCTCAAATCATGGTATTGATCACAGTGAAATAATATATGTGCAGTTCATTTTCAACCGAATTTTGGTGGCAATGATCACAGATTCTAAGGTCTTCAGGAGTTTTGGGAATTGTAAGTCTGCCGGTTTCTATTTTTAAATTGTGATTTCCTATCCTAAATTTGGAAGCTACACGCCTATGTTCAGTATTCCGGATATGATTGATGAATTCAGAGTGATTTGTTTCATTTTTAAAGACGGAGTAGAATTTTAGTTTTTTATTTGTTCTTATCAAATTTAGCTGGTGGTTTTTCAGATGTTTTGACAAATAATTATTCTCAGCTTTGGATAGGAAAGTAGAAGGGTTTTTGTGTCAGGGGGTTGATTTTCAAGCTGAATCCAGATTGTAAATGGTTGCTGTCCTCCAAACGCTTTTTATCGTTTAACATGTGTATTTGAAATGCCGATAATGTATTGGGATCAGGTGCTGAGTGTATCGTTTTAAAATGATCGTAAAGTTTATTGGTCGGGTTTTCGTTATATTATTATAAGACAAGCTGTTTTCGTTCATTGACTTTAGAGTATCCCAAAATTTGCGGTCATTTTCATTACTAATCAACTCATTTATTTTAGAGTCAACAAATTGTTGTTGTTTTTTTTTGTTTGATAAGTTTTTTAAAGGTTCTATTTTGAACATGATATTCTTTTCTGAGTTCGGTATCCAGAGGATTGCGGTTTTTTTTTGGTTAGATAACTTTCTAAGTGAAGATCTTAAAGTTTTGCAATCATAATCAAACCACTTCTTAGTAACTGGCTTTCTTTTAGATTTCTTTTGGCTACTTAATTTGACTGAACGTTTTGCTGCCTCCGTCATAATGTTTGTGAATTGATTGGTAGCATTTTCAACATCTGTACTGCTTAAATCGAAGTTTGTACTTTCGAAGAGATGTAATACAGACAGAATATCGTTGGAACGAAAGTGCAGCAGTGAATTTTGCTGCAGACGTTTCGTCCCAGACATATTGTTGTGGAAGCTAGGAAGTGAATGATAAAAAGTGTGTTCCCAAAAATGTAATGTCTGCAACAATTTTGTGTAATGTCCGCAATGCAAACGTCTGCTTGTAGAATCACTGGAACAAGGTTGCATGGAATTTTTTTCTGACAGTTGAAAAATCTAATATTATTATTGTTATGTTTTGAAGGCACAATTAAGGTTAAAAATTCACAGGAAAATCTCTGTAAAAGAACATTACCTTAAAAAGTGTTTGTTTAAACTGTGATGCCCGAAACACACCTTCTTCAACTCATACCTTCAAGGTCTTAAGAGCTAACCAAAGCATGTTTTTATTAGGTACAAAGGGGACACTAAAAATACTTTCTACATACGTTTGAACACCGGTAATGAACATTTTGACATCTAAATTGGGGTTTAATAATTTATATTAATTTTAGTATCTGAACGTAATATCTGCAACATGGAATCACCCCTAAAGGAGCTTTGTCTTCTTAGATTTGATTAGCTTTTTGTAGTTTTTTTTGCAGGTTGTGTGATAGTTATGCCTTATAGTTTCATCAAGAGGAAATTGCTATGTTAACTTTCTTGTTAGAGAGTTCTGTTAAAATCTTTCTCCAAGCGAAACACTCATTATTGAACCATCTTTCTTAATGTTTCTTTTTGTTGCTTTCTTCTGGCCTGTTTAGTTTCAGTGTAGATTGTCGATATCAGATATAACCCCCAAACTGAAAACAGACCATTGCCAAAAAAACAGATCTACCTGTCCTTCCCCTCTGCACAAACAATGCGCTGCCGCCCGCCTGACAAGCCTCCCTGATTACTTTGCGACGCGCGAAAGGACTTAAGGAACCTGCGGCCTCGACCTCAACAGTTTGCCGTCTCCAACCGGCCAGTGGTCTACGAACGACAGCCCGTCAAAGTTGCAACTTCCCATTTGTCTCTCGTGGTACAACTTGAGAGCATTTGTTCAACTTTCCTCAAAAAGATCATTCCATTACTTCTCACTACCTCTTCTCTCGACTGCCTATTGACATTGTCAGCAGAAATTTTGTGTTGTTGAAAATCTCAATAATGATAATGATAATGATAAATAAATAATATTTAATAAATCACTCCAATTATAGTTTAAAAAACATTTCGGAGGTGGTCTTGTAGATGACGATGAGGCCCGCGTCTCTTGATGAAAAAACAATACATATAGCCAACATTTCAACTGAGTTTACTTCTTTAAATGGGTGGAAGAGGAGCCTGGAGTTTTTGACACTTGAATTGACCTTACGTAATGTCCGCAACAAAAATTCAATGTCAATTTTCTTAGGAAAGTGCCAGTAGCCGGATAATATTTTATAGCCTAATGATAGTGTAAGGCACAGATTATAATACACACATACTTTTATGTTAACTGTATGTTTTCTTAGATGTTAAAACTTTTAAATTTCCTTCCAAAAATTCCAAGATTCAAATTCTCTGTATTTCATGCCTTCTCACATTAGGCACATGGACAAGATGAACAAGATCTCAGTAATTTCAAACAGCCCATTGTTTCAGCTTTCCGTTGGTTAAGTTTCATTGTGCAAAATTTTATTTGAAAAAATTCAAAATGTCATTGTCTTGCATGGAATTGCCCTTCTGTTCATTAAAAGAAATAAAAGTGGTTTCCCATGAATTTTCACGCAACCCAAAAAATTGTTATCCATGAGATTTGAAATCATAGGGCTTAAAACCAAATTTCACCTGTATATCCTTTATGACTAAAGTGTTTCATGCGGCAAAAAAGTAAATATATCGCGTTGCCATTTCATTTAAGGGTGCTGTCAACTAATCTGACTTGTGTCGAGGTGTTTGCTCAAAGCAACCGTACACAGAGCTGTACAGTTTTCTTCACCATGGTACGTATGAGAGGGTGCATTGATTTAATTATTGCTGTACTATCTTATTTCCTTCTTTCACATTTCTTGTATATCATGTGAAATTGAGCCTCCATCACCTTTTGGAGCACCAGCCTTAACTTACTGCAGCGGATCGCATGCTTATCTGCTGTTGTGGTTCCATTTTATCCTTGGTTTTTATTTTGGTACTCCTTTGTATTTTCCTTTCTACTTGACCAAGGGGACACAGATCACATAGTTCTACCAAATAATAGATCCCATCTAAGCTGTCTACTATATGCAGATGATTTAGTTTTGATGTCCCAGTCAGATCAAGGACTAGAAAATGCTCTCTCCATCCTTTCAGAGTATTGTGCACATTGGCTTTCATCGCTGAATCCAAAGAAGACTAAAATTATGATTTGCAAGAAGAAATATAGGAAGTTGACCCTTAATAAACATTGTTTTCATATCAGTAGGCTCAACATAAGAAATTGTTGTTGTTTTGGTGGTATTTGGGTACATCTCTGATAATGAGCTTAGAACAAAGGAAAATTAAATTTATACCAAGGACAAAATTGAACCAGTCACAGCCACATGAGGATTTGGGCTGGTACTCTCAAGAAATGTTAGGATCTCTCTAATTCTGTAGCAATTTATTGACCACAATTTGTGTTAGTCTTAGAACTAGGCATTTCCTTCATGAATGTGTTTTTCCTTGACAACGTAGAATATCTTGTGAGGATCTTTGTAAGGTATCACGCTCAAGAGGGTGACTTTGTGGTCAAGTTACCTTATGTTAACTTAATAATTACTTTTGTTGATCCTCTCACAGCTCACATCCACTTTAGCCTGGTTCAAATAAAGTTGATCAGATTGCTATAGTCATTGCTGTTCTTGATGTTGGAAGTTACATAGGTGAGTGAGTATACAACCATGTTCATGACAGTACATTACGCGCGCAGGGGTCCTAGGTTCATGGGGCTACCAACACAACAGTCCGCCGTTCGCTC